AAATCTCACAATAGTACTAATACTGCAAAGCTTAAAGAGAGCAGGGAAACAAGTGGTGTTAATATGGGTACCAGCGCGCGAGGAGTGGGGTCCTGGATTTCCCAGTTAAAATCAGCAAGGTAGAGGTGGCTGGTAGAGAAGCTGGGAGGAGGAGGAAAAAAGGACGGTTTTATTTTAATGTGCAGCATGAAGTGGGACAAGCAACAGACAATTTTCTTTCAAGGTAGTATTGAGCGAGTGTAATTCAGTAGGGGGGGTTAGACTAGTTTTGCATTTCCTTCCAAGCGCTGGGTTATTCTTTAGAATATAGACTGAAGAGGCCGTCCTGACCCACACTCCATTTCGGAAGGTGGCGTTAATGCACCTCAAGGTTGTATGCCAACCGCCAATAAACCTCAAAAGAAGAAGAAGAAGAAGGGTCAGGTGTGGTCTGTTGCTGTGTTCTTAAATGTGCGTTTGTGACTAAAATAAGTTCCTAAGACGCACTGACCCACAGTCTCTCTCCCTACAACCTTCAAACAAGGTCAGAAATCTAGGGGTAATACTGGACTCAGACTTAAATTTTAATAGCCACATTAAATCAGCAACATCAGCAGATTTTTACCATCTAAAAAACATTGCCAGGATCAAAAACAGTGTCTAAAGCAGACCTGGAGATTCTTATCCATGCCTTTGTCTCCAGTAGGTTAGACTACTGCAATGGCCTGCTCACAGGTCTCTCCAAACAGGCTGTAAAGCAGCTGCAGTACATTCAAAATGCAGCAGCTCAAGTCCTGACTAGAACCAGGAAGTACGACCATATTAGTCCAGTCCTCAGGTCCCTGCACTGGCTTCCTGTGGCTCAGAGAAAAGACTTTAAGGCCCTGTCCACACGAAGTCAAGCTCAGGCCTAAACGCAAAAATACTTTATCAATCCAGTGTATCGTCCATACGAGGCCGGCGTTTTGGGGGGGTGTAAACGAACATTTTTGAAACTAGGTCCCAGAGTGGAAAGATTTCAAAACTCCGTATATGCCGCTCCGTGGTTACTGCCTCTCCGCAATGTATCTGAGACGCTTGCGTCATCGCCCCGCCTCTTGTTAAAGCACGCATGCGCCGCACTCAGAAAATAATGACAACAACAATGTAGCTTGTTGGTTTTGTAATCCAGTGTGACCCGAAGCAACCTCATCGTCCGTCCATACTAATGTAGTACCAGCTCGCCCACTCGCCATGTTGTCTGTTTACAAAATTCCGCGCATGCCCACGGAAGTTTGGGCTTGATCCCGTCATTGCGTCACAGCGCCACCAACAGGTCTGGCATAGTTTCACAGCGTTTTCAGGCGTATTGACTACATTCATATGGACGCACACATTTACTGAGCTAACTCCGTGTTTACAGAAAAAGTTTCTGAAATTATAAGCGTTTTGTCTTCGTGTGGATATAGCCTAAAACAGCTCTGCTTGTGTACAAGTCTCTCCATGGCCTTGCACCAAAATATATTAGTGACATGTTAGTACCATATGAACCAGCCCGGACTCTGAGGAGCACAGGGACTGGACTCCTGTTAGTGCCCAGAGTCAGGACTAAACATGGGGAGGCTGCTTTTCAGATTGATATTGCTCCCGTTTGCACAAACAAAGCCAGATTTGCACAAAGTTTTAATCCATTGTTCAGCTCCAGGGTCTAGGTCATTTGAAAGTGGAAATATTGAAATTGGCTCATTAGCGCCCCCTACAGACTATGTCAAAGTTTTACATGGGCCTAATATAATATAGTTATTTCAAAATGTTTGAAATTTTGCACATAATTCTGTTTTGTCATCTGGATTCAAAAAGTCAATGACAACATATGATTATTTTTTACCCTGTTGCCGTGGCGACGACCAACACTCCCCTGTCTGTGTCTATGGGAAAATAGTTAAATCTCTGAAAAGTACACCTCGCTTAAACATCAAACAAGCCGCGGCCGTTTCACTAATTTGGCTGAAAATCGCTCCACATCGTCTCAACACATGGACCATCAATAGTTGAATATAGAATTTGAATTAGTCAAACGGTCTGCGCGTGACAGACTCCCAAAGTGTGGTTATTTTCATAGAGAGGTGTGAAGTTCCCATGTTATCCAATGGAGACTGTGTGGACACACTCACAGATTGTATGTGCAAACAGGAGCACATTTACAAACTCTGATTGTGCGAAACTTGACTCGGTTGTTCAACTCCTGGGCCTAGGTCACATGACAGTGTGAACAATGACATTGGCCCATTAGCGCCCCCTACAGGCTGAGTAAAGGTTTACATGGGGATACAGGTATTTAGGTTTTCTATAGTTTTTTTTTCTTCTTCTTTTTTTCACTGATCGCAATCACTGATCATAGGAATTAGAAATGCACAGTATCGCTCCTATCAGGGCAGTATGAAAATGGCGCGACAGCGCCACCTCTTTTGCGCGCTTGTGGCTTTAATTATCTTTCTTTTTAATGTACTGTCATTATTTATGTTTTTAATGCTTTCTTATTTTGTTGAGCACTTTGAGTTGCCTTGTGTATGAATTGTGCTATACAAATAAACTTGCCTTTCCTTGCCTTGCCATTGTGATTGTTGTAAACCTGTGTAGAAGCATTTTGAGTTAATTACGGAAGCAGTTTTATATAGATTTCCTTGTTGCCTGTGCAGCTGCATCGAGCTAAGCTAATTGTAGTGTGCAGTTTGGGGTAGTGTGGGATATAGGTGCCAATTATTTTTGTATCTTTATGTTTATGTAACCCTTAACATTGCACAACATGAGCACTTTATAATTTAGTATTTATTTCTGTTTTTTTTGCAGATACCACACCTTTACAAACACACAAATGTTCAATACAAAGACCGATCATCAACCCGTCTTGTCATTGTCTCTCTTCTGAATATCATGGTGGCTCAAGTAGTGTTCTGGCTGACATTCCAGGACAGTAAACGCTTCAATGCCAAACTAGCATCTTTATACAGTCCTTGCAGTCCACCACCTTAGGGGTCTACCCTAGAAGTAGTATTAAAATGTAACAGCACTTTAGGTCACAGCAGCAGAGATGGTATAGCCGCTGGGTGGAGCAGGACAGGCCACAGCAGCAAAGATGGTGTAGCTGTTGGGTGTGGCAGCTGGTCACAGCAGCACAGGTAGAACATCCGCTAGGTGGACCAGGACAGGTCACAGCAGCAGAGGTGGAGTAGCCTCTGGGTGGAGTAGGACAAGCAGAGATGATGTAGCCGCTGGGTGGAGAAGGACAGGTCAAAGCAGCAGAGATGTTGTAGTCGCTGGGAGCAGAAGGAGAAGTGGTGTATCCTCTGGGTGGAGCAGGACAGGTCACAGCAGCAGAGGTGGAGTAGCTGCTGGGTGGAGCAGGACAGAGCAGCAGAGGTGGTGTAGCTGCTGGGTGGGACAGCTGGTCAAAGCAGCAGAGATGGTGTAGCCATAATTAATAGTTACCTAATGTAACTTAAGTTCTACGAATAGGTGCGTAGTCCCTTAGCGGACTTCGCTAGTGGGATGTCACAGACGCCAAAGAGATCAACAAAAAATGCTCCAATCACTAGCGACCCTCCTCTATAAAGGCCCCTGCTCCATAGCCGTGCCCCCTCTTGAACTCTGCCAAGCCGGGCTGGCCTGATGGGCTCGTAGCTAAGGGACTACGCACCTATTCATAGTTACTTAAGTTACATTAGGTAGGAGTCACGTGTGGAGGTGCAAGGGAATGGCGGCGCTGTAGAAGAGCTCCTAACCCCGTCAACATTATTTTAAACCACATGTGTCAAAGTCAAGGCCCGCGGGCCAAATCCGGCCCGCGAATGAATTATCTATGGCCCCCGAGACATTGCCTGCCATTGAGGTAATGTATTGACCCCTTAAGCTCGCTAGCCCCCGCCAGCGGGAGCAAACGAGGAAAAAAATACATCTGCTGGCAATAGCAGATGTATTTTGAACTTCATAAGCCACAAGCTATATATCATTTTAAAGCTTATTTTCTCAGCTATATTTATATGTAAGTGTAAACGATATCAGACTTTGCATTAAAAAGATATAACGCATAATATGGGCACAAAATAAATCATGTCTGTATTCGTTTTTTACCTTTCGTCTTCTGCTGCTCCAACAAATTAGACTTTCCCCATCCTTGCTTAGTCTCTTTCTCTCCGTAACTGTTCATTGAAGAATATCCACTTGTATTTCCCAAAGTATAATCCATTCTGCAGATTTAATCAAAAAACGCCCCGAAAAGAGGTCCAGACTGCTCTTTTACATTTCACCAAGTTTGAGCTTTTTTTTTTTTTTTTACTATTTTCATGTTCTCAGATGTCTATTACATCTAATATGTACAGTATGAGGATTGGCTTTGGAGCATATTTTATCGAGCCAACAGGTGTCACCGGCACTGCCTCTGGATGTTGAGAAACATTGAACCAGTCCGGTCCTCGGCGCGTAGCAAACATTTTTTTTTGGCCCTCTGATGTATTTGACTTTGACATGCCTGTTTTAAACTAATAACTTTGAAACTTCTCCTACCAACATCCTACTTGAAGCTTGTGTACACGCTCACTACGTCTGAGCAATTTGACCGAAATATGACGACCGCCAGTGAAAGAAAACGGTGTGTGCAGACGCGCCTGCCAGCTGTTGCTACACGAGGAGCTAACTCAGCTAACACTGCTAGCCAAGAAGATAACCAAGTAACGGACATAAATGGTCTGTTTGTGGAGATTTCCAAGGTGGGGGCGACACTAAATGGAGTTGCAAGTGATGTGACGATGATTAAATCTGACACAACGGAACTCAAGAACTCCGTGAGTGCAATTAAAACGAGGCTAACTGAAGCTTAGAGCCGCATTTCTGATGTGGAGGACACGGTAGCTAACCTAGCTAAAAACAACGAGAAGCTAACCAAAGCAGTTGCACAGCTCTATGAGAGAGTTTAAGACCAGGAAAACAGAGCCCGTCGTAAAAACATTAGACTGGTTGGACTGAAAGAGGGGAAGGAGGCTGGGATGCCACTGGCTAACTACGTGCAGAAAATACTCTCTGATGGTCTGGAGTTGAATGAAGGTGAATATGAGATTGAGCGCTGTCACAGAAGCCTGGCTCCCCGCCCGGATCCCGATAAACCTCCGCGCATCATACTTGTGAGATTTCTCAAATATATTGCCCGTGAGAAAGTCCTGGCTGCTGCTAAGAAGAAGAAGGGGATTCAATGGGATGGCTGTCGTCTGTCACTGTTCGAGGACATGACAAAGGAGCGCTCAGCGCGGCGCAAAGTGTTTTCCCCCGTGATGAAAATGCTATGGCAGCACCAGGTGAAGCACACGTTGGCGCACCCGGCCATACTGAGGTTCACATGGAGAGGACAGCGGCTGAGCTTTACTGACGCAAAGGAGGCAGAAAGTTTTGTACGAGAGCACATCGAGAGCGCGGAGGACGACGAAACCACAACGAGCAGACAGACCACGGGAGACGGCGAGGGAACATCTTGCTAATATCAACGAGTAGGAGAGCGGGGGAATCACAACATTTGACGGGGTGTGGAAGGACACTGCGGCGTGGTCAGGATCAAGACGACGGGAGCAGCAGAGGTCGTCTCCGGAACTCACACGGACCAGATAAGACTTGATTTTTCCACCAGGAAGGCTACACTGCGATGTTCTTTTTTAATGCAGTGTTTTATTTGTTCTTTTTCTACTTTGATTTATGGTTATGTTGTTTTGAAAACAGTGAGGTAAGAATTTATGTTATATTTGCACCAACTTGCTTATGTATGTTAAATAGTGGCGTTCAAGACTCTGGTCGGATAACTTCTCTTTCGGAGAATAATGGGTAAATTAAGTATAAATATTGTTACATGGAACATTAATGGTTGTGGCACACCAGTTAAAAGGAAAAAGGTTCTTAGCTATTTGAAATCTCATGATACGGATATAGCGTTCATACAAGAAACACATTTTGAAAATGATATAGAAGCTTTAAAATTCAAAAGAGGTTGGGTTGGTAAAGTGTTTCACAATTCAGTGTCCAGGAAAAGTAGAGGGGTTATGATTCTTATAAATAAAAATCTTAATTTTGTGTTACTACAAGAGTTTAAAGATGCAGAGGGACCTGTAATATGCACACAAGCACTTTTAAATGATGTGAAAGTTGTTCTCTGCAATATATATGCCCCAAATAGGGAAGAACCACATTTTTTCCACTCCATCCTTAATATAATAAGCAATCTTGAAGGCCACATTATACTGGGGAGAAATTTCTCAGATGTCTTTATCGATAAAAGTGTAATGAGTACCAGTTTTAGTACTGGAGGTAAATCTGCAACAGCACTTTTTGAAGAAGAAATTGGGCTGGTGGACATCTGGAGGCTAATACACTCTGTGGAGCGGGAATATACGTTTTATTCACATGCCCACAAAAGTTATACCCGCATCGATTACTTTTTGATTTCTAGTACCAGTGTTGACTTAGTGGCAGAGTGTGAAATAGGTGTAATTGCCTTGACAGACCACGCCCCGGTGGAGTTACATATACATTTACAGGGTGAAAATAACAGGACTGGCAGATGGAGATTAAACTCCAGTATACTGCAGGATGAACAATTTGTAACAACATTAAAGGACGACCTAAACCACTTTTTTGACGTGAATATTGGGTCAACAGATAAATTGGCAACAGTGTGGGATGCTCATAAGGCTTTTGTTAGAGTAAATGCTTGGGATACAGCTCTAAGAAAGTAAAAGAAGGGAAAGAAAAAGTTAAAACGTTGGAAAAACAGATAGGTGAATTGGAAAAACAACTGGCAGAAAATTATGATGAGAACAAATTTAGTAGAATATGTAAACTGAAATTTAACCTTCATGAAATTTATAATAAGAAAGCAGAATATGCACTGTTTAGGCTCAAAACCAATTTCTATGAAAATGGTGAAAAAACGGGACGGCTATTGGCTAGACAACTGAAGCGATTGGAGAACCAGAATGTGATCACAGCAATCAGAGAAAATGATAAGTTGATAACATCATCCTCTCATATCAATACAATTTCCCAAAGATTTTACGAAGATCTTTATACATCTGAAAATGTAGCTACTGCAGAAGAATTAGAATCCTTTTTTGACAAAATAACAATAACCAAAATCACTCAGGATGGAAAAGATAAATTGGAAGCACCCATAAATGAGGCTGAAGTAAGAAAAGCAATTGCTGGAATGAAGAAAATGAAGTCACCTGGCGTAGATGGCGTTACAGCCGAATACTATCTTAAATTTGTGGATATACTTGCACCAATTTTAACGGATGTTTATCGAGAAGCGTTTGAATGTGGTTCCCTTCCTGAAAGTTTCAACCAGGCTATAATTACTCTCATACCGAAAGGGGACAAAGATCTTACAGATCCAGTTAATTACCGCCCCATAAGTTTGATAAATGTCGATTGCAAAATATTATCAAAAATATTAGCCACAAGATTAGAGACTGTGTTACCACAGATTATTCATAAAGACCAGGTGGGCTTTATTAAACATCGTTCTTCAGCTGATAATATGCGGAGACTTCTACATCTTTTATGGGGGAACAAAGACAATAAAAACCCTGTAGTGGCAATATCACTTGACGCCCAAAAGGCTTTTGACAGGGTGGAGTGGAGTTTCCTGTTCGCTGCTCTGTCAAGGTTTGGACTGGGTGAGAATTTTGGTAGGTGGGTTAGCACTTTGTATTCCGGCCCAAAGGCTGCTGTTTTCACCAATGGAATATTATCCCAATTTTTCCGTATCTCCAGATCGACTCGTCAGGGTTGCAATCTTAGTCCGCTTCTATTCACTATTTTTTTGGAACCATTAGCTATTACAATCAGGGAAGATGCTAGAATTAGGGGGGTGAACGGAGGGGGGAGGGAACATAAATTATTTATGTATGCCGATGATATTTTGGTATTATGTCAGGAACCTGCTAATTCTATTAAAACATTTTGGAGGTGATTGATGACTTCTCTAAATTATCAGGTTATAAAATCAATTGGCATAAGTCAGAGGCAATGCCTATATCAAAAGCCTGCAATGCATATTTATTATCCTCTTTCAACTTCAAGTGGTTACAAAAGGGTATGAAATATCTGGGAATAACACTTAATCCAGATATTAATGAAATCATGGTAGAAAATATAGAAAAATTGTTTACTAGGATCAAATCAAATTTAGACAACTGGAGCAAGTTACATTTAACACTATGGGGTAAGATAAATACAATAAAGATGGTTATAGCTCCTTTGATAAATTACTATACTGGAATGATACCAATTTGTATCCCAGCTCAAGTTCTTCTTAAATATAATAATTTTATTAAACATTTTCTGTGGGATGGTGGTAAGCCTAGAATAAATATTGGCAAACTATGTCAACCCAAAAAAGAAGGGGGGCTGGCCTTACCTAACATAGAACATTATAGCATTTCATTTGAAATGTCCAAAATATGCAAACATTGGCCAGAAACTAAATCAGATTTAGACTGGGTTTTAATTGAGCGGGAACTCACCTCTCCGTTCACCCCTATCCAGGTATTGACTCAAAAGATAGACAATAAAGGGAATCAAATGGACAACCCCATATTAAAATTTTCAAAGATGGTGTGGCAAACTGTTCACAAAAAATATGCGCTTTCGCCGTATTTCCAGAGATATGCGTCCCTGTGGCACAATCCAAAGATCAAAATCGGCAAACAGTCAATTTATTGGTCTCATTGGCTAAAGAAAGGTATACGGACAATTGGTGATATGTTTGTGGAAGACACATTTATGTCATATAATGATTTGAAAGAAAAGTTTAAATTGGAGGGACAAGGCCACTTTTGGAAATACTTACAAATTAGAGACTGTTTAAAGAAGAAGAAAATAATTCACCTGGAGAAAAATTCAATAGAGAGTTTCTTACAACTTCCACCTTTACTTAGTAAAGCATCAAAATGGTATAACGTGTGTCCATGGGTTAAAAACACTACAAGTAAGAGTCTTAAAATAGCATGGGAAAGAGACTTTGGCTGCACTTTTGAGGATGAAACATAGGACTCTATTGTTTCTAAAAGTGGGTGTTATGTAAGAGAGGCCAAAGGAAAATTTACCCAATATAAAATTTTAACTAGGTATTATTTTACGCCATCTAGACTGCATAAGATGGGCATTAGCAAAGATGACTTGTGCTGGAAGTGTCAAAGAGCAAGAGGTACATTGTTGCATGCTTTATGGGAATGTCCGCTGATTTCTCCAATATGGAATAGTGTTATAAAGTACATGGAGGGATGGTTAAAGAGTAAACTGCCTATTTCACCGAGATTGTGCCTGTTAGGGGATAGAGGTTTGGTCCCAAGGGTCCATAAAGCAGCGTTCAGAGTACTAAATACTGGATTTGTTACTTGTGCCCGTCTCATTTTGACTTTATGGAAGATGCCACAGACTCCAGCTTTCAAAACAAGGAGAGAAAGAATGACTGAAAATGCAGCGTGTGAGAAAATGCTGGGGAGATTGAATCATTACTCTGAGGCTGTAACAGAAGAGTGGGACAGTTTTAGTGCCTATGTTTCTACTACTCTGCAACAGTGATAACTTGGAATGTTTTAGAAAGTGTGCAACAATTTTCTAGGCTGTATTCACATCTACACATAAACACATTAAATTTAGGGGGACCAAATTCTGAACTGATCCTGGGTAAGACCAGGACTGGTCTAGTAGAGTGGAACTTAATTAGGTGTCCAAACTATTTTTAATTGGGCTTGAACCAGGACAATGTGTGACTGATGTGAGTACGGCCTTATTCTTATCAATGTTTATATACCTCACTGGTTTTGTTTTTGTTTCTGTTGTTTTTGTTTAATTTATTGTAATATGTTCATAAAACAAAAAATTATATAAAAAAAGTGACATTAGGTAACTATTAATTCTACGTCATGGTGCTACGTCCCTTAGCGGACTTCGCTAGTGGGACACAACGCGGAGGCCGTAGTAACATCAGCGAAGAGTGATTGGAGGTCCGCCCGAGCAAGACCCTCACAATGTGAGAGGACTCAGGGCAGAAGAAGCAATTGCGTGTTACAGGGCCACTCCTCCCAAGGATACCCCCAAGTAACACAGACCGAAGTTCACCCGTAGTCCCAGGACGCCTCTCCCAAGAGCTCCTGACGTGGACTACCTGACTGACCAAAAGCACACACATACCGCACCTGCAGGACGCCTCTCCCAAGAGCTCCTGAACCAGGGCGGAATGTCAACCGAAGGCCCCCTCAGAGGAGGGACCTAACGGTCTAACTCAGTCCGCTGCACTCAGCACGGAATGGGCCACCGACCGGTCCGACACATCCAAAAGATAAGACCGGACGAAAGAAGAGGACGACGCCCAAGAAGCCACACGTCCTCGACCGACGCCCCCCTGAGGAGGGCCGTAGAGGCCGCCACCCCACGCGTGGAATGCAACCTGAAGCCCACCGGGGGGGCCAGACCCTGAGCCTGA